TTTGTTTTTGCTGAGTAACTGTAGGTCCACAGCTGAAATAGAAATGACAAATGTGATAGACATTCTCAATATTGATAAATCAAAAATTTATCTGGTGATCTAATTTGTAATGTGTTGTTAATCCACATCTACTGTAATTAACACTACTCAAGTCTGAGAACTGAGCAGTACCTGTTTTCTCTGTCCTTTTGAGCTTGTGTGATGGTCCTGTAGCTGAGGCCTGTTGAGTCAGCATGTCTGATTCTTCTGCAGCAGAAGAACATCACCTCACTATTAACCACAAATCATTGTCTTATCAGATAATGCAATATTTCATTCCACAGTGCTCCTCGCATGACCCAAAAAAATATTCATACCGTCTGAAACTTGAGATGATTCGGATGCCATCTTTGGCCTCTTGCGTTTGGAGGACCCTTAAAGAGAAGAAGTAACCAGGATGGACATTTTTAGTTACTTTCTGTCACTTAAAAACAGGAAAGAAAACTGCTATTCAAGGTGACAGTGGTAGATCGTTCCACAATTTGGGAGCAGCAGCCGCAAAGGAATGATCACCTGTAAGCTTGTGCTTTGTTCTGGGCACACTCAAAAGAAACTGATTAACTGACCTCCAAGAACACATAGGCGTATACCAGTGAAGCAAATCAGATAAATAAGAAGGCACAAAGCTGTGAAGGGATTTAAAAACAAATAACATTTTATAGTGGATCCTAAAATAAACAGGTAACCAATGCAAAGAAGCCAAAACTAGAGAAACGTGCTCATATTCACTCGTACTTGTTAAAAGGCATGCTGCAGCATTTTGGACCACCTGGAGGCGTGTAATAGAAGACTCGCTAATTCCCAGATATAATGCATTACAATAATCCATACGAGTGGTGATAAATCCATGAATGTCTCAAAGTGCCATTTAGAAACCACTGACTTTACTTTGGCCAACTGCCTTAGGTGAAAAAAAAAAATTGACTTTATGACAGCCGCAACTTCGCAATCAAATTTAAGGTCGAGGTCCATCTTAACCCCCAGATTTGAGATATTTTTCTTGTTATACTGAGATAAAAAGCCCAAACCAATGGAGGGAGACCCAGCAGTATCACCAAAGACCATCACCTCTGTCTTCTCTTCATTCAACTTTAAAAAATTAAGTGCAAGCCAAGATTTTATGTCCTTAAAGTTGATAAAACAAATAGTCATGATCTTTCATGTCTTTTTTGAACACACCCATTACATACAAAGTGATGGTGGAAAAATAACTGGCTGAATCACCTTTGGTAGCAATAACCTCAAGCTGTGGATTAGACCCCCGCAATGTTCAGGAGAAATTTTGGGCCATTCTTCTTACAGAACTGCTTCAGCTCAGCCATATTCTTAGGATGTCTGGTGTGAATGGCTGTCTGAGGTCATTCCATAGTACCTCTATTGGGTTGAGGTCTGGACTCTGACTGGCAGCAAAAACATACTGGCATTCGAAAATGTGGATATTGTGTCTATTTTGTAGTAGATTTACTTCAATGTTTAGGGTCATTGTTCTGCTGCATCACCCAGCTTGTTCTGAGCTTCAGCTTGCAGACAGCCAACCTGACATTATCCTGTTTTTAAACTTGCAGTAATTAAACCTCTGCTCAAAAAGCCTACTCTTGACCCAGGTGTCCTAGCTAATTATAGACCAATATCGAATCTCCCATTTATTTTCAAAATCCTTGAAAAAGCTGGTGCAAAGCAGTTATGTGACCACTTGCACAAGAATGATTTGTTTGAGGATTTTCAGTCAGGATTTAGAGTCCATCATAGTACAGAAACCGCATCGGTGAAAGTCACCAATGATCTTCTCCTAGCCTCGGACAAAGGACTTGTCTCCATACTTGTCCTCTTAGAACTCAGTGCTGCTTTTGACACCATTGATCACAGCATCTTACTGCAGAGACTTGAACATGTTATTGTGCAACACCTCAATGTTATGATAATAATTTCCCTTCCTACGAAGTTGCTCAAATGTTTGGCGACACTTCTTTGATGTTGATGGAAGACACATTGCTAGGGTCACTTCTGTTTCACTGCTGTGTTTCCGCTTCAGATGCCGTGCCATTTTACTTTGTGGTTTTTTGCAGTATACACAGTAATGATGCTTGTCCCACTTTCTTTTTTGACCCTTGTAGCAGGTTTTCACTGTAGCCACTGTCCTACCCTCATCCTCATTGTCGCCGCTGTCATCAGGATTCCCATCATTGCTGTTTGTGTTGCAGGGGTCTTCTTCAGATGATGGGATATACAGTATTTACTTTCCAGGTCAGGAATGGATTCTGACAGAGAATCATCTGTGGCACAGTCCTCCTGAAAGAACAAGCAGATTAGAATAGTAGTTATTCAAATAATGAACCTATAAAGTTTTGCAGTTGGGCTGCACTACTGTAGCTCACAACAAAATAAAAAGCATATCTACATACCCATTCCTCTTGTGCCTTCTTTTTTCTGTTCATCTGTAAAATTCAGAGTAAATTTGAAACATATGAAAAACCGTTACAAATAAAGCATACATCAGCTTTATTTTCCTGCATAAAGTTGGCATATCTTCAAAGACAATTTAAAGTGCTTTAACTTGTGAGCCTCTATTTAAAGAAATAACTCAAAGCAAACATTAGCTTAATAGCTTCACAAATACTAACACTGGAGAATGAGCCAGAGGACTAAACCAGAATTTAGTTTCAAACCAAAACAACTAACTAGTTTCATAAATCTTACCTGGACAATTTGCAGTTTGTTTGTTTTTTTTCATTGTCTAATTCAGCTTTCACGGTTCTCTCCTCGTCGTATCTCTCAGCATAGCGATTGTGGTGCTACCGCAGTCTCCACAGTGTTGAGGCATGCATTTAATGCAACATTAGTTGAAGTTGAGCCTCAAGCTCCAGGTGTTATAAATATTGCTTGATTCCCGCCCACTTCTAAGCTGCCCTGTCTGCGCCCTTTTAAAGACACAGGCAATATTGCATGAATTCAGCTTAAGCAGTATTTAATCAGAGCATGATACTTTTAGTGCACAAGCTGGCACACATTTTTCTGACTTTACTCTCTGTATGTGGACATCTTTTGAAACTTAGATCATTCTTTAGGATGAAAGGAGCCTATCCTAGCATTTTCCTTGTGTGGACCACCCAAAAGGTCCACACAAGAAGAAATGTCCACACAAGAAAGGTGTTTCGTCAGGGGTTGGTTCGCACAAGTATATAAAGACAAACCCACACACACACACAATAAAGAGGATACAAGTGTGATGTTGTGTGTTTATCGTGTCCAGGTTAATGTTCACCTGTGTGTGTGTGTGTGTGTGTATGTGAGACAAAATGCACCGTTTGAGTGACAGTTCAATCAGAGGTTTAACTGCCAGGGATTGTGGGATATATGTTGGGTCATGTGACCTACAAACACCTCCTCACCTATCACTGCACATATTTGCAGAGAGATCAGCTGAGCTATTGACCAGTGTGTTTGTGTGTGTGTGTGTTGCTCTGGGAGTGATCGCAGACAGTCCTGGGTAAAGCTGGCGGTGCCACAATCACTCTGGAACCAGCTGGTTTCCAGAGGCCGGGCCATAAAGGAGGACTTAGTGCTGATGTGCACTGATGCCAATTAATTAAACTACTGATATGTGAATACTTCCATTGACTTCCTTTACATTTTAGACTGCAGGGCTCCTGACGAGCTTTGTTTCTCCCACTAGTTTTACTGATCAAAGCTGGAAGGGATCTTTAATAATTGTTATAATGTAAAAAGTTTAATAATCTAATTGTGGACGTTGTGCTTCTACTAGGGACTGGTTTCGCTACCGCTGATGTCAAGAAGACCACGGTCTCAAGCTCACTGTCTACACATGGTGTTCTGATTAAGATTCCCTGATGACCACCTATCCTGCTGGTCCTATCCAGTTCTAATGGCTCGAACCTTGTCCAGATGGCTCAGGTCCCTACACCTACAGTAAATTACAATGTTGAGATGGAGATCATTCCCTGAGTCTCTCTGCACAGAACAGATCTACATGATGGGAGAGGAAAATACCCAGAGATGAAAGCAGTGTTTCCAAAATGTCTGACGAGTCTGTTGCACCGCAACACACCATGTTAATGAGTCCCTGTGAACACACTGAGTGTGTGTGAGCAGCCAGGGTTAGTGCACTAACACTCTGACAGGCTGGAAGCAGGAGGAAAAGGAGGCTTTTACTTTGCAGCGATTCATCTTCACAGAAAGGCAGCCACTCTGTGACAAAACGCCACTGATTTCTCTCTTTGGAAATGGCAAACTGACTCTCTAATGAGGCTCTGCTTTAGCTCGATACACGTGTTCAGACTGCAGTAATGAGGTGAGGAGCTTTAATAAAACTGCTCCCTATTTGATGACAGAGTCATTAAAATAAAAATGTGGCAAACTGCAGCTTTGATGTGAAAGAGGGAGAGGGAGGCCAGTGTCCTCTGCAGAAGTCAGGCGATGTACAGATGAAAATGTTCCCTGAAATGTCTCCACACCTTGCCCCTTTTCAAAGATTTCTGAAAAGCCTTGTGACATGGTCTGGTACAAACTGGCTGAAATGATTAAAACACTGGGTAGCTGTATGTCTGCTTCATATACATAATCAATCAACTGACAGAGTCATAGAAGAGAGAGAAATAGGCGAGAGAGGCAGACGTTCGTCACACTATCAAACTAAACTTTCATGATAAATTAAATCAAAATATCTTCACTTTTTTGGTTTTCACAAAAACCTTTTGATTTGACGTGGTGTAAGCTGGCTCAAACTGATTATAACAACGTAGAAGATCACCACATGTTCTGTAAAAAGTGAGAGTTCGGAGTTACTCTTTCATATATGTAGCAAACCTTCAGAATTCAACATTCCATGATATCTTAAAAACCTTTGACATAATCTGGTGTCAACTAGCTGAAGGTCACATATTTTCACCAAAATAGCTCCAATATTTCCTGTTTTTGTCAAATTAAAAATGATTGACATAATTTGACTAAAGTTTGTTTCTGCTGAAAAGTGGTACCGGACATACCGGATATTGCCTGCACCAAAGAATGACACATTTCAACAACTGATTAATTATCAATAAAATTCAGTCAGATTAAACTGTGAATCTACAAAGAAAGAAATTATGATCAAATGAATGATTTTAAAAAAGAACATTTTTTAAAAACTGCAAATAAATTTTACAAATATTTTAACCTAAACCAAATAATTCAAAAAACAAACACACACAAATTAACAGGTAAAATCAACCCAAACTACTATTCCAAAGTAAATAAAGAAAAACATTTCAGCAGCCAATCAGACAGCAGGACTCACGTTTGACTGTGAGGTCAGCGTAGGAGGACACGCCCACACCACGCTCTGATAGGGAGATGCAGCGATAGCGCCCAGAGTCACCTTTGGTCGTGTTCTCCACGTCAAAGCTCGCCACGTAACGCCGTGAGTTCACCGGCTTGGTTTCCCTGACAATGGCCTGGCGACCGCCCATCCCCTGACAACCAGCAAACAGCACACATCAAAGTAGTATTACACAATACTAAGGAAAGTACACAATTATTAGGGAACAAATACACAAAACCACTGAATAAATACAGCCATTTACTCCACTGAGATATACACATAAATAATATATAAATAAATAATGACATGCACTACTGCGCATGTACAATTATTAAAAAGTATTGACAAGCACATATAAAATGTATTTTTAAGTACTGACGGGTACTGATATTGGTAAGTCCTGCTGAGTACCTGCAGGTGCAGCAGCAAGTTGATCTGCGGTCGCCCGTTGACAGTGCAGTGAAATGTCGCCGTCTGTCTGGCGTTCACCTCCACGCCTTTAATATGCAGGAAGTGCGGCGTGCTCACTGACAACACATACACACACAGAGGTGATGTCACAAAGCTAATGTCACCGCAGTAACGGACATTTTTTCCCAGCCATCCTCAGAAAATGGATCCTGGAGGTTGCAGGTGTGTGTGTCTACAATCAGTTTATTGGACTGAGTGGAGGCAGCAAGAAAAGGTTCAGGTTGAGGATGTTTACTGGATGTTTCTCTCTCTCACACACACAACAAAGAAACATCAAAAATGCAAGGCTGGAGACAGGCAGGTAGATAAACAAGCAGATGGATCAAAGTCCATGCTAATCAATTTAGATTTTAATGAGCTCCCCTGCCTCCACACAAAAACGCAGTGACCTTGATTTTATGATGCCAGCTCAACTTTTAACATCGTTATCCAATTAAGCAACCAAACCTCATTAACCAATTAGGAGCCTGTTCTACATGGGGGTGGGACCTTCCTACATGAGTGTGTGTCTGTCTGTGTATGTAGTGTGTACTTACTGCACTGGTGTCCCTGCAGGGTGATGTCCTTGATGGCCAGAAGTCCTCTCTGACCAGTGCTGACCGCCTCGAACATCACCTGACACAAAGACCAACATCAAGACTATGATCACTGGCAGGGCTCAGGCTAGTAGAACCAGCTAGTAGTAGTAAGTAGGAGTACCATCAGTAGGTAGGGGTACCAGCAGTAGGTAGGTAGACTGATGAAAGCCATCATAGCGGCCAAGAGGCAGTACAGAGAAAAGCTGAATGGCTTCTATTGTACTGCTGACTCTGGTCGGATGTGGCAAGGCCTGCAGCATATCACAGACTACAGGACCACCACCAGCATCATCAGCTCCACCAGCATCAACAGCCTGCCGGATGACCTCAACTCCTTCTACGCCCGCTTTGAGACCTCCAGCCACAGCAAACAGAGAAGGCACGCACACACCGAGACCACCCAGCCCCCCACCTCCCCTCCACTAACTGTCTCACCAGGCCAGGTACGCACAGCCCTGAGGAAGATCAACCCCCGCAAAGCAGCAGGACCGGACAACATCCCTGGGAAGGCTCTCAGGGCATGTGCCAGCGAGCTGGCTGATGTTCTCACCACCATCTTCAATCTCTCCCTCAGCCAGAGCATCGCTCCCACCTGCTCTAAGACCACAACCATCGTCCTCCTTCCCAAGAAGAGCCCAGTCACCTGCCTGAACGACTACAGGCCAGTGGCACTGTAGTCGGAGGGTTCACCTGCAGTATGCCTACCGGCCCAACAGGGCCACCTCAGGCGCCATCGCGGCTGCCCTCCCCCATTCCCTTCACTGAATACACCTA